GCCCGATAAAAGACAATAATAATTCAAATGTTGTCCATTAAAAAAAAAATCAAATGTACATGCAAATCTTGAAAAGTAGATCCAACAGCTTATAACTTTACAAAGAAAAGCTCACACAATCTTCCTCGTAGCAACTCCACCGCATAAGGCATAACCAAACTACCAAGACCAAAATTGCCCTTTTCAGTGATTGCATTTTACTTAAAAAGATTTCTTGAGAACTTTTTTTTTTTTTAACAGGATTGATCCTGATATTTGTTATCCGGTTCATCCTCTCAGAATGAATGTAGCCGTCGAATAATCCATTCACCAAAATTTTCAATAGATCTAGATCCATAGAGCAATTCTTCCCCACGTAAAAACTACTAGTTTACCTTTTGGATTTTTTAATATACAATTTGATCTAATAAATTGATAAATAAAAAACTATAATAAAACATTAATAATGTATATATGTGAACTTTGCTTTATTTAATTTATCAGATCAAATTTTATATTGTGTAGATGTACAGACAGATAATTGGACGAGATCAATCAAGTGTCTCCATGAGTTGGCATTTGCGAGGAAACGTTGACCATGTGGATATGCATCAACACTATTTTGTTAGTAGTCTTTAAATACAAATAACATGCAAAAGCTTTCTAATGTTTTATTTTGTCTACGACCATTCATCATTTCTTTTCAATCTTTGCCAACTGATCACATCTAAATGATGATTTGCTTAAAGCGTAATACAGTCATACCATCCTAACCCAAATTGCACACTTGTACATAATGCGTTCATGAGTAATTTCTATAACTTTAACATGTTCTTCTTTTCAAATTTTATACGGTACCTTATTTCTACATTGTCCAAACATTTTGGTTACATGCGCTTTATGTTTCTACATACAAATCAGTTTTTTTTTTCTACACTTATATAGGAAACCAAATTCCTACAAATCAAGACAGAGACTTTCAATGCAAAATAACATATATAATTCGTCAGATAATCAATAGAGTTATTAGTAGTACTAAATAGCATTTCGTCATATATAATTCGTCAGATAATCAATAAAGTTATTAGTATACTAGCCGTAAAGTAATGTGATTAACGCCATGCAAAACACACAAAAAACAAGCAGTGAAGAAATAGTTTAAAATACAAAAGGAGAAAGCGTTCTTTGGCGATTTGGCGTTTACTTCATTTTTGAAAAATCTAATGCCATTACCAATACCATGCATTAAATGTTAAATGTGTGAATAGTAACAACATCAAAATTAATGTCATTAGTATGTTCACAACTTCCACAACTTCTACTGGCAGGCAAAAAATCCGTCACATCGGCTTCGTTCTGATCCGATCTGATAAATCCGAATATCCATAAAATTTTCAAGCAAAGCAAATATTAAATTAAAGTATTCGTAGAAAACAAAACAAATCGCAAATATCATTTTAGAAAAACCAAATATCTGATCCGATCCGTTACATATATTATAAGATAAGTTATATATCTAATGTATATGATTAGTTTTTTTTTTGTTATTATAGATGTACAAGCAAGATGAATTGTAGTGGATCCATTCATTTTTTC